GGGCTGCCCCTCAGGAGCCGGGCCGCGGGCCGTACGCGCCTCGCCTCCCCGCCCTGCTCCGCTCCGGGAGGAGAAGCGGAGCCGCGAGGGGCCGACCCAGCCCAGCAGCAGCGCTCCGCATGCACGGCCCCTCGGTGCCGGCCTGGGTCACCCACCGGCCACCCGCGTTACCAGCCTCGCGGGGCAGCGTCTTTCCTGGCCCCGGCGTCCAGCCGACACTGCCTTGGAGGGAGCGAAAAGCGTTTCTGTTTTATACCAAATCTGACCACAAAAGTACCCCCTCGTGGCTACCGTCTGGGGGGGTGGTCCTTTGTATCATTCAGAAAACATGTTCAACACACAGGCAGACAAGGGTCTTTGGGTAGGTGTGCCATCTTTTAACCAATTCGTATTTGGGAAAATTGTTCTTCAGAGCTTTTGGGCACAGACACCCTTCTTCAGGCACACGAAGTGTCTGCCACCGCTACGTTCAACACACACAGTGGGGGAGATTACTCTGTCGAACGTGTTTTCTGAATGACTGTCTGGCACACACATACACACGCAGCGGGGGGATCACTTTGCTGAACATGTTTTCTGGATGATTCACACACATACATCTACCCCAGACGCTAACTGTGCAGGAGCCTAATAACACTGAGCAGTGGCATGCTGGACAAGACCCGCACTAATACGCTACTATCCAGTAGTATTAGGCTGCTGCGCAGTAAGCGTCACTAAAAACCCACATGCCAGTGCACTGTACTGCACAGTAAAAGTTACTGTGCGTTGATTTAGTACTTGGTTAACCAAGTACTAAATCTTAATGTGCAGTAACTACGGCACAATAATGAATGTGTAGACGCACCCACCAGGCACTTGCCTCCTTGGGCCAGTACGACGGGTAAGAAGCAGAACTGCTTCCCCTTGCATCCACTTCAGCCAGGATTAGACTGACTCCAAAATGCAAGGCTACAGCTGAGACTCTTGTTATATTCCATTACGACTGATGAGTCTGCAAGATTAAATAGTTGAGATAGTGTAACCAAGTGACATCCTCAGGTGACCGGCTCCGGTAGCCAGAGATTCTTTTTTTTAAGAAAAGCTAAATGAGCTCTACCCTGCAAACAAATTGCAGAGATGACCTAAAAGACCTTGATGCTTCCAAAAGGATCGTTACCCACAACTAGTCCTGTCTACCATGAGACCTCATGAAAAAAAAGGAAGCAATTTCATATTGGCATTGTTGCAAAGTATTTACATACCCTGAGAAAAGCCATGAAAAGCTAAAAGAATTTGCTTATGCCCATGCTGTCTCAATACCCAATGTTTTCTTGTTTTCGTAGGGGCCCCAGAATGACAAGTCCTTTTGTTGTTTCCCCTCAGGCTGTGGACAATGCGAACTTCCTCTCACAAGCTCCAACCTTCTTCTGAAGAGCTAACTTCAAAGAGAATCGTCTTTCCTGTATAATCCCTGGTGTTCATAGCAGAGTGACCCAGTACAAGCCATGATACTATTACAGTAGCATGGAAACATATTTGTTAGGGTTGCTGTATTGCAAAATTTATTGAGCTCTCTTCATTTGTTTCTCTAATAATGTTCATCACAGCAGTAGTGCTTTGAATCAGGCCCTAGAACTGGAAGGCACTAACTCCTGATTTTAAAGATAAAAATATTATAGCTACATGAATCTCTTCATATTAAAAAGGGGGGAGTTGCTAAATTTTAAAGCAGCAACAAAAAGCAGTTTTATATTTGTATATATTTACTGGGTTAGAGATGCAATTATATGAGAGGAGAGGGGTTTGGAACCATGGACAGGCATTACACATTTCTACCAGGAAAATTGCCATTCTCCCCACAGAAATTCCAATGTACAAGTGTTCATTCAATTTCTCCTGGGAGGAAATATGCCCCATTCAAGACAAAGATTTTCCAGGCAGCAACCCAGAAGATCTGCCATGTGAGAAAGTCTGGTCTGGAAGAGAGAAGCAACTGCTGAGGACTGGGTAGTTCAAGGAATGGGCTGGGGGCTTGTCCCCACTGTTCCCTCCTCTCTGCTTCCAGGAGCTGCAGATGCCCAATTTGAATGTGCTGTGCAGAGCAGGAGGAGGAACTTCCCCACCCAAGCTGCACATCCACCGTCCCAGTGCTTTGACCCACTATGCGGGAGCAGCTGTTTGCTGCTGGGTCCTCAGACTCGGGTCCCTGCTGGGGTTTGCAGACCAGTGCCCCTACCAGTAGTGTCAACAGGGCCCCTAGGCAAAAGGGGTGTTCGGAGAAAGATAGCTACTGCCCTGTTGGTCCTGGGGGGCAGGGATGGGGACTGAATCTGCAGCCTTTGGGCTGGCAGACTGGCTTTTCCTGCTACTCCAGTCTCCTAGGACCACGAGGAGTGCAGCAACTGTTGCTCCCCATTCCTTCCCCAAATGGATCCCCCATCTGGGGAAGGCATGGAGAACAGGAAACAGTTGCATGCTGAACCTCTCTACTGCTCCCTGTCCTGGGGAGATTTTTTTAGAGGTGGAACTTCTCAAAATTTTTCACCACTAGAAATAAACACCTGTTCAAGGAGAGAGTGAAGCCCTCAATCCATGAACACAGGATGGTAACAGTATGAATCATTTGATCGTTAAAGTGGGGTGGGAGGTAACTAGAACTTAAGTCTGGTGCAGGTGAGTACCCTCACTAATGATATACTATTTTATTTCATTTATGGGGGGAGAGGGGGAGGGAAA